AAATTTCACTTTACTTTACTTTTACTTATATGTTTTTCACTAGAACTATCGGGTAGGCCAACCTTTGGTCCATGGGAGCCACTTTGGGTAGTTTGGGTAGCCCTGCTCTAATCTACTCTAATACCCACTGCATATAAATTTAGGGCATTTCCGTTTGAGGTGTGAATGATGAGTTCAAATGATAGAGGAAGACAAACTAATTACAGACAGCAGGAAGTGGTATCTTGTGATCCCTTTGCATCTTGTTTCTCATTTCTCAGTGTATCTGATCACAATTTATCTCTCACTTACTGAGCTGGTGACAAACGAGCTGCCTGCTGCAGTCACAAGCCACACACACAGACCACCAATCATGATGTATTTCCGGTTGTAGCGGTCCCCGAGATAACCAAAGAGAGGTGCCAAGAGTAGGAAACTGCAGATAAAGACTGCAAAAATTCATTTTTTTATGTAACAAGTTGAAGAAAACCCACTCATGAAACATTAACAAGAACATGGGCATCAAAGCATAGATCTCTGACTAATTTAGAACCAAAAAGGGCCATACACTTGTGTGTGTGAGTGAGTGTGTCATTTTAAATGTCTTGAAATAACAGCAGTCTGCAATTCGCTTGCACCACATGTTGCACAAGTTCATTTTAAGTAATGCAGGGTAAAAGGGTACGTTCATAAATAGTGTTTCTCTCTCAGAGATATGGTGTGTGAGTGTGTCTGTGAAGGAGATGCATTATCATACCTGTTTGCAGAAGTGCAGCTGTACTGTCACTAATATCAAAGAATTTCTGAATGTTGAGAAGGACACCTATATGACAATAAAAACAATTCATGTGTAAGCCCACGAAAGAGAAGCAGTGAATGTTGCCTGTTGGTAGGAAGTGTTGTCACATGTACACAATAGATCATCTAACCTGCTACTGTGTACCGTTCCATGTAGTTGATCAAGTTGATGTAGCAAAGCACAGCTACAGCTATATAGGCACGTCTTGGTGATATGGGCGCTTTCTCCCCTGCCTGTGGTGCAAGTGATGAAAGGCTGTTTACAAAAGAGCCATAACGTAGACCAGAGCTGGAGCTCAGACTCCATCGAGGTTTTGGTATACCAGGCACTGATCCCCCTGGCTCCATAGTGAGCAGCTCTTTCTTTACCTGGAAGTGGAGGATATATGACTTAGTTTTAGAGAAATCATTTACCCTCTGTGCTGCAGCATGTGCACAGTAGTTTGGCAACAAGTCTAATTAGACAACTTAATAAAGCTTAGTGACAGGACAGAATTATACTGCATACAGAGTGGAAATACTTTTTTTGTGGATACAAATTACAGCTCTTCTTGCTTTTATCTTTCAAATAAAGCCTAATTGCATCACAGAACAATAAGTGGCTGTCTCTATCCCACTGTACATTTATCAGCCTAATGGCACATGGTGAGAGATGTATTACATTTCTTATGTGTTGCTTTTTTAAGTTCTTTGCGACTGTGCCCAAAAAAAAAAGTAATCTAGTTTGGCGGAAATTAGTTAATGTGGTTTGTGGAAAACTTAAGAAACAGTCTTTACAGAACAAAAAGCAGTTACACAACTGTGTAGGAGTAATTTGTTGCAAAGTGACAGAAAAATGAGAAGTACCTAGGAAAGTAAAATACATAATACTGTAAAGAAAAGCATTTCACTAGATCATTTCAAATGTGGTATGAAAGATCCTCTGCATTCTGCTCTGGTTAGAGTCAGTGAAGTCACATCAATGTCTATAGTGCATAAAATCTTTTCTCTAAACAACATAGTGAAATACAATTGTACTGTTAAAGCTTTAGCTGCAAGAACTGAAGCCCCTTTTATCAAACATAGGCTTACTTACTTGTTGATGATGTCTTTTTTATGTAATTTGCTCAGTTCATTCCATATTCAAGGTTGTCAGGGGATGGAGTGTCTCTCAGTGTCTCTCTGAGGCTTGAAGAAGCTAACAGAGGCCTCAGCTCTAACATGCCTCAAGAGATATTAAGTTAGCAAAGGGACCAGCCCACTGTGGGTTGGTCATATGCTTTCACACAGATCTTCACTGTGATGCAACACTGTAAACAAATCTAACACAATTTTTCTTGTATTTTTTTTTCTATCTTGTAATAAAGAGGGAATAAAAGGATCATTTTAAATATCATTATATGCTATGGGCCTAATTCATTTATTCATTTTAATTCATTCACTTTTTAGCAGCGTTATACACACATCTTACATAAGAGATGGACAAAAGGGTTAAGATTGTTTAGGTGGTTGTCACTTGGTAAGCTATAGATAACTGTATTCTGACTTTTGTCAGTGGTTCCCATACATACCCAATCCCATACAGCTGTTTAATTGCTGCTGTGCTATGTATAATAATGTTAGCACATTGAATTGCTTAACAAGATTTGCTGTTAACAATTTGTTTTCCATTTGAATGTTCAGTACAGATGGTGAAGTGATGTTAATCTGCACACATGTTTATGCACACAAATAATCTCACTGACCAATCATTACATTTTCATTTTTTTAACCTACATCCTTGTATGGCAACATTCCACTATTTATGTAAATTCTAGACTCACTTTTTATTCTGAACCTCACTGTTGTCACATGTCCACCATTGACAATTGTCTAAAATGATCTAAACAATGGTTGTGAGATAGCAAAGCTTTAAATCTTTAGCACATTGTGAAATAAATGCCTCTGTCTCAAGGGCTGACCCCAAAATTGATGTTTTTGTCAGCAGGTTTGGAGAATCACTAAGAGACCGCTCTTGGTTGCCCTCTCAACACCAAGCTAACTGCCATAAAACCTAAAATCATGGTTCAGCGATATGGCAAACATTATTATTTAACCTGTACATTCATGTTAGACATGAATGTACTATAGTAGGCCCACTTTCCAAAGTGAACCGAGATCTGACCCTTCAGCATTTCACAGGGTCAACTGTTTCAACTAATTCACTAGACCAAACATAAGCGACTCTGAGACAAAAAGCAGAGACAGGCACATCAGCCACCAACGCAGTTACATGTGGGGTTAATACCCAGCAATTTTGACCACCAATCGACTTCCTCTTTCACTCTTGTCAGAATATGCTGTAAAGTTGTCAGGGTATGGGATCATTTCCCAACTTTAAATAAACCAGTGATATTAGTTATAAATAAGGAAAACTAATAATGACACAGTGTAAGAAATTAAGAGAAAAACGTGTGGGCCTAAAAAACTAAAAAAACAGTATGCGTTTGTCTGTTGTTTAATTTATTTTCTGTTTTTACAAAACTTTAGGTTTTCATTAATACTGTTATTATTATCTCCCCATTATTGGTATTATTAGTATTAGTTGTACAAGTAGTCCTGTAAGAAATACAACCAAAGTAAATGTTGTTATCGTTTTGTTGAGGGTTCTTAAGATCAGGCCAGTTGCCGCCACCTAGTGTCTACTGTAAATATTACAGTCAACACTAAGATCCAATATCAAACCGGTTTGATGAAGTGGAAACATTTTCATACAGGGCCTCAGTGTTCATGCATTTCAGGGTGAGTCTCATCCTGTTTGTGTTTTATGAGGAAATTATATACTGTAGCCTAGTGATTAAAGCAGATAAATGCTACACTTACACATTATTTACTGAATGATTCAAACGGACAATCGCTCTGCACTTCACAGCCATTGATTTAAAACTACACTCAATGACAAATCTTTCACAGAGAGTAGGCACCCATGGGACAAAATGTCATCCAGTCAATCTTGCATATAACCAGATGCAACATTCCTACATTTATGATTGACAGTAGTGTATCTTTGAGGGTTTATGAAAGGAAACAGTGTGACAGCCCATGATGTGGCCTTGGCCCTCTGTTGGCTGCCTTGTGTAGTAATAGTTCAGCTGAAACAAATGGAAGAAATAAACTATAAAATATAGTTTATATGAGATATAAGGGAGAAAATCTAAAAAGTGGTACTAATAATTACTAGATTAAGGATAGTAAATGGTAAATTCAGGAGTGCACATACAGGAAAACATCAGGAAATGTCAAGAGGACTAAAAGCATACTAGACTGAAGAGATCAGTTTATGTTGTTTCACTTTATTCTTTGTGAAGAGCAGGGTTGTTGCAGCAAATATAAGAGGACATTGCAATCGAAAGGATAACCAGGAGAGGGCAGTAATGCACCAATGAGGATGTCTGCTGCAGTAAAATCTCAACGAAGAAGACCAGCAGCCAGCAGCAGTAGGAGAAGGCGACGAAGAAGAAGAATGACGAGAATGCTAAACGGAAAATAGAGGGGTCGAAGTACTGTTTGGTGAACATTAAATTAACGCCGTTACCTCAAAATATTACCATTGAACATAGCTACATTACGTTCGCTAAGCTATGACAGAGCCTCAGTCAGCGCTGTTACTCAGGAGACAGCTTGCAGGTAATTAAACCTTGGTGTGAAGGGATGCTGGACGCCGAGCTAACGATGGCAGTTAACGTTAGCTGTGATTCAAACGATGCTGCTGCTGCTGCTGCTGCTGGCGCAAACTGTTTTCTTCAACGATAACGTCCCAGGACAAATAAACTGCACGGAGATTATAGCAGTGCAAGTCCGTAGACACATTTCTCTCTTGAAAAACGTAACGCCTTCAGTGTGCTGCAGCTCGTTTAGATGTGTTTCTACGTTGCATACTGCTTTGAGCTGAAAGCCGCTGTCAGAAGTCCCGACCACTTTCTGCTATCAGGCGAGCTAACAGCAGTTAGCCTACCGTTAGCACTTAGCTGGCTCGACTGACTCGATGTGTTTACATGTCTCTTTATCGACATAACAAGCCGTGCTTTCCGCTTTTAGACATTGCGTTTGCTAGTTATGTAATTAGCGTGAGGCCAGTTACTATATTTATGCATAAATCTACGCAATGTTGCATTAGTTGAGCTATTTTCCCTAGCTAACTTAGCCTTGTTGACTTGTTAACATATTTCGCTTGCTAACCATCTCAATCTGAAGGCTAAACTTAGCCGCTGTCACTGTTGTTAGCTTCAACACTCATGTTAATCAGCATTATCCGTTAATTTAACAGTCAGCTGAGAGTTAAATGTAGCTACCCTGGTGTTAGCCACCGTTCAAACGCAGCTCAGCCGAACACTTTACAATAACAGTCCAGGTTTTGTTTATTTCATATGCAGTCTGTCAGGGACATAATGTGCTCCTTGGAGTTTTTTAAATTGTATCTCCATAGTGATTGAACCATAGTGATTGAACCATAGTGATTGAACCATAGTGATTGGTAATTGACCTGGACCTGAATATTGAGTGGGGTTTGAATGAAATGAGGTAACTGAAGTAATGTCAGAAATTTAAATTACTGTCACTGAATTCCTGAAATTAGCATATTTTTATTGACAAATACACGTTCCTATTATAGACACTGATTTATGATAATATAATCTAAAGTGGCATTGAAATCCACTTAAGTTTTTACCTGACACGTGGTGCTTGGAAGAGGTAAATATGTCAAAGTGTCTTCTTCATACTTCACTTGTAACACAGAAGCAGCTATTTGGAAACATGGCTTTAAATGAATGTGCAGACTGCCAGCGGAACAAGAAGTAATAAATCTCTGGAAAGCACTCAAAGAGCACATACTGTACCTCTCCCAAGGCCTGCCAATAAACAAATGATAAAACATGCTTAGCAGTTCTTAATCTTCTATGCAAATCTGTTTCAAAATACACACAAGAGATTTTGGGGTAAATTCCTAAATCCAGTTAATGTAGCATTATGCAAAACTTGACAATTCGACTCATGAACACTGATGCAGTTGCAGTAGTGCCAGCTGTTGGTGAAACACCTCCAACCCTTGCAGGATGGTTTAAGGTGTATATGTGCACATGATCTACATTTGGTTACAGTTGCTCGCTGTGAATTTCCGTTTTAGGTAAATCGGCAATGTGAAAGAATTTTCAGCAAAATGTCAGAATATCACAAATGGACTTACTGAGGCTCATCCAATATGCTACATACAACAATTGTATTGGTGCCTTTTATATGGAAGGGGATGTTTGTCTGGGTTTATGGTGAGGGCCTGTATGAGTTTTGGTAAAATATATATATATATTTTTTAGTAAACTTTCTGCACTGCCTCACAGTTCAGAAATTATGAGTGAAACATAAAAATCTTTATAAATGGCCACTTATCTGCATTATCAGCACCAAAATGGATCAGTTCATCCTTCACCCATTGTGTAACATCAACTGAATTTAGTAGTGGTATTTGAGATGTCATGGTAACTAACTAGACAAATACGACTGTCGCACTTTTTCTCTCAGTATGTGGCCTAAAAGCACTACAAGTTGATCTCTCCCAAGATTTCTGAAAACTACCTATAGAAGTGGTTGTGGTATTTTAGTATGCAATTGTTCACTAATTAATTATGTGTGAAGTTGGATGTTGCAAAGTACAATATATATCTGGGGAACTGCAGTGCGATCCAGTGAGGGGGTACGAGTTGGCTCTGGGCTCTTACGGTGGTGTGTGGTTTCAGCACCTGCTGCTTCTTCCTCAACCCCCAAGCAAGGCCTCTAAGACGAGGCTTATGTTGACTTCTCAGCAGTCTTCAGAAAAGCACAGCTTCAGTCCAGTCAACATACTGTATGATAAGAACTAATGGCAATTTGTCATTGCCATTTGTTTTTCTATCTAGAGCTGAACAAAAACCCAGTGGAGGGATTCTCAGCAGGCCTGATCGAGGATAATGATCTCTACAGATGGGAAGTCCTTATCATCGGGCCTCCAGACACACTGTAGTAAGTCTATCGCTGTTACATCCATGTGATACAGAAGGAGAAGTGTGTTATTATGTTATGCATTGAACAACTCTTATTGAAACGTTTATATTTATTGATTATACTGATTTTTCTCTTTGATCTTTTTTGTTCACAGTGAAGGTGGTGTGTTTAAAGCTCATCTGACATTTCCCAAAGACTATCCTCTCAGGCCACCTAAAATGAAATTTATCACAGATATTTGGCACCCTAATGGTAGGTACAGGTGCAGCACACGGTGAATGTGATATTTGCCTTTGTTTGTAGTAAGACCTGTGTGAAGAAGTGGAGGTTACACCTCTATCAAAATGTAAATGTAGCCATTTTAGAAGTAAAATGGAGTTAAACTCTGCAGATAAACACAGAGACAGAGATGTATGTCTCCTTCACACCTCGCCTAACCTGCTGTTTTGATAGTGGAATCACAGGTTAGAAAAATCCAAAATTCGAGGTATGTTTATTCAGCAACTTTTCAAAAACATATTGCTGACAAAGAAAGTCAAGACAGATATAGCCTATATGTGTCTTGTCCCGGTATGATATTGCAAGGGAGACGACGGGCGGGGCATGACGGTGTGTGTGTGTGTGAGCAGAGAGAGAGAGAGAGAATTTACTTTATGAAGTTAAGGAGAAAGTGTGTAGGAATGGATTTAATACAAGTGTTAATTTCCTGGATGGCGTGGCAAAATCCATACTTCGATCCAGTGCACCGTACATAATAATTGATATTCACTTACTGTCACCATGCTAGTTAATAGAACGTAACTTTGGAGGGAAGAATGGGGGGGGGGGGCGTGGAGTTGGGCCTATTCCAGGTTCTGATACATCTGATGACACATACTGCTTAGACATGCAGAGGTTGCCTTTGCCAATATTTGATTGCAAAGTGGGGCTGATATTTCATTAGCACTATCAATGAACAAATCATTAATTGGTTTGGTAGCTAATTGGCTAAATGTCATGTAAATGAATATTTTAAACAAACATGAGCATCCATTGTACCATAGACATAGAAAAAGCACTTTCTGCTTCATAAATTGTATACCACATGTCTTTTTTCCCCAGTTGGACAAGAATGGAGATGTATGTATTTCTATTTGCACGAGCCTGGGAGGACAAGTACGGCTTGAGAAAACCAGAAGAACGCTGGCTGCCCTATCCACACAGTGGAAACCATCATGATTAGTGTTATCTCTATGCTGGCAGACCCAAATGGTGACTCACCAGCAAATGTGGATGCTGCGGTAAGTGTTACTAGTTCATAAAGGTTGATTAGAAATGGCATTTGAAGAAAATGGATGTGGCTCTTTCTATGTAAAATATTTCTGATGGTCCTTCCATGCCTACATTTTATCCCTTTTAAACCACAAATTTCAGTAACACCAAACTTATGTTTTTGGGAAATATAGCGTATACGTATATACATTATATCACCATTATATGTACTACTATATATATATATATATATATGAAATATGAAATTGTGTGACAAAATTACAGAATTAATTCTTTACCCTTTTTCCCCTCTGCAGAAAGAGTGGAGGGAGGACAGACATGGCGCATTCAAAAGGAAAGTTGCCCGTTGTGTACGAAAAAGCCAAGAGACTGCGTTTGAGTGATATTTAGCAAGAATCTAGCTTCAAGTTTTCAGGGCAAGTATTCTTGAGTTTATCTATTTTAAAAGCTTTGGTTCTCAATCACAACTAACTTCAACTGTTCATAAACAGCTGCCTGTTGCACCACGTAGATTTAAGTGAAATGTCTGTAGTTTATTAGGTCCACCTAGCTAACACTAATGTTCTGTTTCTGATGAACTGTATGATCGTTATAGTAGGCTGCAGTCGGTGGTGCTGTTGAGGATGTATTGCATTATACAGAGGGGTGGTTCTTTTGTCTGGCCTACCCTCGTTGATTATAATGTTGTGGGACAAAAGTATAACGCAATGCAGTTCAGCAGCACCACATACTGCATCCTCCAAAATTATTGTAAATCAACATCTCTCCGAAACAGTTTTAACATAGACGTAACATTTTAACCTTTGTGAAGGAAGAATTTATTGCAGGAGGAAATTTGACTGCATTATTTTTAATCATTAACTTGATTGGGGCATAAGAAATGACTTTTATCTATGACTTTGAATTGCACACTCATCCAGTGGGTCTCACATGCTGTAGATGTATTCTCGCCCTTTTCATCACGTCATATTTGTGCCTGTTTCTGTTATGACTTGTGTGATTGGTTTTGCTGCTAACAGTTTTCTTTCCTGTTATTTCACGTGTGCTTTCCAACAGGTCTCCAATTGAAAATCAACATGGCACTGTTTCCTGCACTCTTCCACCCTGTCGTCAGGCTTGTCCTCCTTTATTTTGGCAGGAACAGACTGGTTACTGTAGGCTGCAATAGAACATAACAGTGACTACAAAGGCTGACAGAAAAAAACGCCAAGCAAGTGCCAACTCAAAAAAAAAACAAAAAACAAAACCCAGAAGATGATAAAACATTTTTCAAGTCTATGAACTGCTTCAACATTCAGGAAGATATTGTAAAGACATGTATATAGCACAGACTAAACCGGATAATATATAAGCTCCCTCTCCATCCATCAAGACACTTAGACCAAATGAGTAGCGTTGGTTCAGAAAGATTTATTTTTGTCCTCAGCTCCAGCATGCATTAGTTCTCTTTAGATTGTTTTAACGGGAAGTCTTACATAGAAAGAGAATTGTGATGCTGTTGGAGGAAGGTCACCTGTGAAGAGCTCGATTGATTCAAGCGAGACATGAATGACGTGACTGAAGTGTTTTTTCGAGGAGTACCGCCATATTAGAATACATTGTGGGTTCTTTCACACACTCAGAACTCTGCATCATATGTGTACCTGAATGATTTTGTTTTTCTTTATCAGTTTGAAGTCTTACCATCCTGCTCCGTTGACTTAAGAAAGGCAACATACCCCTTAATTTTTGTGCATGCTAAATTTTGTTTATCTTTTTTCAAAAGTGCCTCCTAATAAAATGCTTGGCCACTTCACCCTGCATTGAACAAGTGTTGAAAAATGTTGAAAAAAGATGGAGAAATTGTGTACCACTTATGTATGAATTTATTTAATAGCCAGGGAATCTGTATAATTAGGGAATTGGTAACAATTTGGTGTAGCAATAACTCCCCTAGTATGAAGTGTACACGTGTTAATTTTTGATATCCTGATACAGTTTGAGGTCCTATTCTCCAATATTCTGTTATTTTAGCAGCCTCTCTTTTCCTTGTTTGTGTTGTCCTCAGTAGGAATTGTTATGCATGCTTTCTCGTGTCTTTTGTTTTGTTTTGTTTTTTTGCTGAATGTTTCTGGGATTTTGTTTGCGAATGTTTGAGTGTTTGTGTATACAGTATGTGTGCCCTTTCTGTTTTGTCGCCCTTTCCCCTGATCCACAATCTCTTGATTATTCTGCTCACTGAACTATTGCAGTTTTGCCTAATGTACAAAGACAAAAATACTGATGTATATTTTTCATGTTATGAAACCTGTCACCTGTAGTGAGTTCTTCTAAAATATGACTTTTTTTCAATATTTACTTGTGTATTTAATTCAGATGTGTTTTGGCTGCAATTACATACAGTTATGTATTGCTCATGACAGAGAGAAACCTTTCATATATACAAAGTGTTCTCGTTGCACAGAAGAATGGCCTTGGTAAGAGAACAGTTCATGAATTTAAACATCGCCATCATCTGATTCGTCAGCAACATCATTCTTCAAATTATATATTTTGGTGTAACATTCTTTACATGATTAATTTATTGTGGATTTAGGGGATTGTGCCAAGAGCATGTAGTTTCCTATTCTGCTATTTCCTTTTTATAAACCCTGCTAGTTAATTGTTTAATTACTAGAATATTGTGGCAAACCACACAGCCAAATACATGAATTAAGTAAACCAGAGCTAATGTAATATGGCAGGTTGGGTGTAAAGAATATATACTCTTAGTTCCAGCTCACAAACACCTGTAAGTGTGTAAACGGTTTGGTGTCTGAACATAACAAATGTAATGGAGTCTTATTTCCACCATACAGTACTTTGATAAACTAAATGTATCTTCAATTATCTGGGAAACAATCCTCTCGCTCAGTGAACATTTTATCAGCAGCGAAACCATTATAGCTTTCATACATATAATCTAGAAATTAGTATTGGATTGTATCATATTGTCTAAAAGCTCAATCCAGTAAAAAAAAGTGAGCGACTTCATCACCTTTTACTGTGGTCTTCTGACACAATGCATGTACAGTAGGCCTTCCATTTTATTTATTTCTAGGGAACAAGCATGTGCCACGATGCCATATGTGGCCCCACAAAAACCAGACCATGACTAAACCCAGTTCAGCAGCTTTGTTTCACAATAAACTCCTCCACACTCCAGGAGATCTGAATAGGAGTGTGATAAATAAGACGCACCAACTGCCATAAATGAGTCTTTGAATGTATTGTTATTTTAGCATTATTGACAGGAGGGCTTGAATACAATCCACTGTGTACTTGGGTGCTTACTGTACTGTAGAACTATGCCTGGCACATTACTGCAACTTCTCATCTTAGAGGTAGGAGTTTGGCAGGAGCACTTGAAGGCAACACAAGTTTGACAGCGGTTCACTAATTTGATGTTCCTCGCTGCTTTGGATCGGAAACTCCGTTCATCTCTTGTCAGTGAATACACCTCCATATTCCCACACTCAATGAAATAATAAGAGACTGTATGGGCTGTTACCGAGGACTTCTGCTTTTGTATGTGAGAGAAAAACTGGCAGGTTGCACCTTATTATATATAGTATAGAAAATCATCAATTTATGGATTAAACCACGTGCATAAGATTAGCACTTTAATAATATAATTCATTCCGTGAAAGAAGAATGATGGTCATGTGATGTACTAGCAATTAACGCGTTTTGAGTAACCACTTGAACGCAGCACCACTGCCTACTATCAGCCTCTCCGTCGTATCGCGATAGAAAGCATCAGGCCACGGAGCTAACGCTGAGCAACATGGCGGAAGGTATGAGATTGGTTTTTTGACTATTTGGTACACTCCCTGTTACCCCCGTATGCTTGTTGATCTGTCGGACTGAATCAACTAGTGCTTGGCGGTTAAATAAGCCATGTAGTGTGTGCGGCTGAAAATACGAAGCAGTGCGACACTTGTCTTGTCATACAGTGAGCTCTGTCGTTAGCTCTCGTTGATGCTGCTAGCTGAATTTTATAGCTACGAGTTAGCCGAACTGGGTAAGAGATGTTGGTGGGTTGGGTTGGGTTGGGTGGGACTGTGGAGAACAATTTTCTGTTCAGGCACACTCCAGGTTCGCTACGTAAGAAAAAAACCTTATGTTAACTTACAGAATTTGCAGGTAATGTTGGTTTTAATGTTAGCTAAATGTCAACGTCGCGGATCTGTGCAAACTGTGTATTATACTAGCTAACGTTATAATCTCTGCATCCGATAACTGTCGCTGTTTTGTCCATGAAGACGTACTTTTTAAACACAATCTGATATCAGTTCTGTGAAATGGAGCGTAAATACGGGTCAGGAGACTTCACAGGACAGGGCAGGTGTGTCACTCCTTGTAACGTGTCATCTGCACCACCTGGCAGAAGTGCCATGGCCAAGGGCACCACCTGTATTTGGACCAGACATAAGGGAATGTCTGCTGTGTGTTCCTCCTCAAGGGAAATCTACTTACAAACTTCAATCCAGAGAATAAACTCTCCGATCTGTGCTGATAGGGTTGTGCGACGAGCTGCTTCAGTGCTACTGAGCAGATATTTTATGGACATGTTAAATGATTGTCTGAGCCTTTACTCAGGTGAAATACATTAATACAATTACATGGAAAAGAGAAGCACTTATTTTTGTTAGATTCTAAATGTTTAAAAGTTTAATGGCACTTTCTTTGTGTTTTGTGTTCATAAACACTGCCTTGGCTTATTGCTTTTCAAAGATCACAAGTCCTGACAAGTACATTTAATTCAAGTTTTGTCTATGGTGCACTGTTTTTAAATGTTGAGGGTTTGTTGTATATACAGCTGTCTTAGGACCCTCCACCCCTCCAGCTGCTTTACAGCTGCATTAGTGATGCCTGCTAAAGCTGGCAAAACAAAGGTGGATTAAAGTATATTATAAGAATTTGTCCATTGGCTGCTGGTTAGTTGGTCTTAAGCTGCTGCTCCACCATACCACCCTTCCTGTGTTGAGCTGATCAGGTGGTTTTCAGAAACACTCCCCTTCTGTTCCTCATGACCAGTAGCTGTGCCAGTAACGGTTTACAAGGGAGGACGAAGTAACGTGCCGTCTCAGCATTCTTTCCTCACTAAAACTTTACTGGTTTAAAGGAAGGAAATGGGCCTCAGTGAAACTCTGTGGAATCTAGGCTGAGACATGAATTAGTGTTGTAACACTCAGATCTGCAGAGAGTGGATTTCACTTAGAGGAAAAGGGAACGCGCTGGCAAAGCAAAAATACTGTCTGTACATTCTGCTGTAGTCCGTTTTTAAGATTTGGAGATTTGTGTCTTGTATGTCTTTTTATATGGGGAATGCTGAATCCCTTTTTTAAAAGAATTCTGTGGTACATAGGTGACCCAGCAAAGTGCTTTTAACACCTTTTACTGTAGGTGCAAATCCAGGTCATAACCTTTATGATGTGCTTCTTCCTCAACTTGCCATGTCATCCCCGCCATAAGAACAGTTTTTTGTAATAAACAATCCCAAACACTAACTACTGTATACTGGAACCATCACAGTTTGGGGGGAAAGTGCTTTTAAAGGGTTCAGTCCTAACCTGTGTCCAGAAATGGATCTGTCTAACCTACTTTTTCTATCCCTGCATCTTGTTTTGCCCTCTGTCTGTCTCCTTTACCTGGATGTGGGACAGAGGAGGTGGCCAAGCTGCAGAAGCACCTGGCCCTGCTCAGGCAGGAGTATGTGAAGATGCAGCAGAAGCTAGCCGACACAGAGAGGCGCTGTGCTGTGCTTGCTGCTCAGACTACTAGCCAGGGTTCCCCCAGCCCTGCAGCTGCAGACACCTTCATTAGCCGTCTGCTGGACATTGTGGCCGACCTCTATCAGCAGGAACAGTACAGGTGAGCATCATGGTTGGAATGGATGGGTACGAGTTCCATTTGAGATTTTGCTAATCCGGCATTCCTGAAGTGTTATTATGTAGTTGTGCGTCTGCTCTGCTGTGTGATACAACCCACCTATGCTGTTACATTGTTGCAGTTCTTGTCACATAACATCATAAATTGTGTTTTGAGTTTTGTTCAGTGTTCTAGGCAAACACATTTCCAAATTTTCATTGCACTTATTCTTTTTTTTGCTAGTTTTGGCATTATTTAAGACCTTGTATTGTATTTGTATGATAAAGTTCCCAGCATGCAAACCCATCACATGACACATCACTGGAAAGCCCAGGATGTCCTCTACAGAATGCTATAGGGCTTGATAGGGTAACTCGAAATACTTTAGGAAGATACAGGTGAACAAAATGTCCATTATAAAGGACACAAATGAATGGTTTCTCAGAGATAAATGTGCTGGTTTTTCAGTGATTTGAAAGTGAAAGTCGCAGGGGAGAAGCTCAGTGCCCACAAGTTTGTTTTGGCTGCTCGCAGCGATGTCTGGAGTCTGGCCAACCTGGCCTCCACCTCGGAACTGGACCTATCTGGTGAGCAACCCTGGTGTGACACACTGTTAAAGGAGTAATGTAAATCATGATGACAATCCAGCACTCACTCCACATGCTTATGGGTTAATAGTTGATGACTGATATTTATTTTGGAGGGGATTATGCAGGCAAGTCGAACTCCAGTATTGGGAACAGTTTTGCTCGTAGTAGGCCCCAATGCCTATTTTCCAGTAAGGTTTGAATTCATATAAATGTGAGCAAATGACAGCCTGAGAAATTTAAAAAGACAAAAAGACACCATTCTCGCTTTTCAAAATAAATTAGAAATGGATGTTTTTTAGTCCAGTGTTTGCAGAGACTGACGATCTAAATTTCCGTCCCAGCAGGTTAGTAATTAATCACTCAATGTACATTTTTTTTTACTATATGACATGATGAATTTCCAGATTGCAAACCTGAGGTTGCCATGGCAATGTTGCGCTGGGCATACACTGATGAGTTGGAACTCAGTGAGGATGATGCCTTTCTTATTGACTTGATGAAGCTGGCCAACCGCTTCCAGCTTCAGCTGCTCAGAGAGAGGTCAGCACAATACAGTTAAACTTTAATTATTGCTAGTGGTGGCATTACTGTTGCATAACACTTTATTGAGCAACATATGTGGCTTAACAGCCTGAAAATACATGTTTCTCTCCGCTGAGACAGGTGTGAAAAAGGTGTGATGTCCTCGGTGAATGTCAGGAACTGCATTCGCTTCTACCAAACAGCTGAGGAGCTTAATGCCACCACCCTGATGAACTACTGTGGGGAGATCATAGCCAGTCACTGGGTGAGTACCTTCAGATGGTGTCCGTAGGGGGTGTTGGTGTGTGTGCATGCCTTGGCAAGCATGT